CCTATAGAATGTGCATGAATGTGAGTTATCTGCTATAAAAAGTGTGTTACTTTATCAAAAATAAATTTATGGTTTGCATCAAACAAAAATGAAGCATTGCAGAAAGAAATATTTATTTTGAACTATTGTTTTTATAGGCATGCCAATTTAATAAATAATATTTCTGCTACAAAACAAATGAAAGACTATAATAAATCAGTCAATTCAATGCTGAAAGCTGCAAAACAGTCATCAGTAGCTAAATAGCAAAATAATATACATCTCAAGAAAGATTAAGAAAGTAAGAAATTTCTCACTTCTGCTACTCTTTAAAGGTTTTGTTTTCGGTTTGTGTCATTTTAAATGCTCGGTCTCGTTATGAGATGATCTTCATTTTTTTGTGTTTATGGAAAGCAGGCGAGTCAGCCGACCCAATATATGAGCAGATGATGTGTACAGTATTAGATTTTACATTTAGCGAACATTTGCGTTCAGCACGCAGTGAATGCAACGCATTGAGATGTGGGTGCTTTCTCCGAAAACTCGAGTTCTCTGAGACTTGATTGGTCTCAGCTGGTGGATCAGTATTCGTCACATGTCATGATCGCACTCATCTGTGCCTTTATTGATATTATTATAACTAGGTGGGGTTTGCAAACCTGTGTATTTTTCACTCTTCAACCGCTTGCATTCCTGGCGGTCACAAAAGCTTTCTGACATCTGACAGCGGAAAACCCTTAGTGATTGACAGCTAATATGAACCAATATAGTGGCAGGGAAGTGCGATTCAACAAGTTTTTAGAAAAAAATCAAAGCAGGTCACACTACAACCATTAAATGCAGTCGCACAAATGCTCCCAAATATATTATGAGGTCGCTTAGCTTAAATTTTTGGCATATATAATTGATTTATTATGGTATTGATGGTATTAGAAAATCCATGTTGTGGCGCAATGTCACACCGGTAATGACTATAACATTGGTATACCGCCCACCCCTAATTTAAACATATAATATGTCAAAGATGCCAAAAGGATAAAATATGTCTCATGTAAAAAAACAAAAAAAGAGATGTGTAAAAGAAGAAATAGGTTTAAGTAATAGACAAATTAAGTATGTGGTAATGGGGTGGGAAAATAGGAATTCTGATGGTATGAAAACCTTAGATAAAAATATCACCATTTGATGGTATTATGATTAATGCTCTAAAATATGTTCATTTTAAATGTCTGGGTAAAAAAAGACAATATATTTTATTTTAAAGCAGGGCTCGAAATTAACTTTTTTGCTTGGTAGCAACGATGCTCCTAACTTTAAAAATGTAGGCGCATCAGCCAAAATTTAGTCACACTTATATGCACCGTTACTACAAGTTTTATACAAACATAGTTATTGCATTTGAAATCAACAGTAATCAAACTAACAAGCAAAAAAATATATGTGCAAGCATGAGGAAAATGTCTCAACAAAATCTCGTTATCACAAGAAAATAGATTTTTTTAACATAACTGAGTGACCAAAAGGTACACGGAGCGCTCACCGGCCCTGCACACACTGCTTGACTTGAATAAATCTGTTAACGATATAACTGTGCTGTTCTCACGGGTCGTGTCTAATATTGCACTGATGTTTATAATAGTGTACCTTATTATATGTATACGTCATATTAATATACGTTATTAGCAATACTTTTCATGAGTAGCGATATTAGTTTACTCAGTGTAAGCCCGTTTGCGATGGTGTACGTGGTGTTAAATTTTAAATATAGCTGCCACTTGCACAGCGGACAGCATCTGGCGATTAAATGAAGGATTACAGAAGCTCTCGTGTTAGATGTGGCACACAATTACCTGAAAACTTCATCCCACAGATTTTTCATAGCAGACTTGAAGCCAATGGAAGTCTTTTATCCACTCTTCGAAAAGTCTAGATGGTGGATTAACATTCAGCAGCACATGATCACTAGTAAGATGTGTCATTATTTGTAACTTTAGATGCCATGGTTTCTAAAACAAAATCTGTCAATGTAGTCTTCATTCTCATCGTCAGCGCTTTACAGTTTTTCGCGGTAGTAGCTCTCTTTGTCATCCCAAGCCAGAAGGCATTGACTGAGTGATTGACAGCTGATATTTCAGTGCTAGAGCATTGGTGGGCCAATAAGAAGAGCGTGAAGACGGGGCAAGCATTACGGACTTGGCTTTGTTTACTGCAGCAAGTTGACATGACAACTGTTTAAAACCATTCCTAAGCGCTGTGTTTCAAGTGCAGAGATGCATTCTGCGTGAATGTCTCCCAAATTCGCGCATGTGGTGAACATTTTGCAGTAAAAACTGGTCGCACACAACAATTTTTCGCACTCGCACAAATGCTCCCAAATATATTTTGAAGTCGCATAGATAAAATTTCGACAACAAACGTTCTTTTACCTCACACACACACTGCGCAGCTAAGGGCCTAGCCAGAGGCGCTGTAACGTTACAGCAAAGAGAGAAAATGCCATCCTGCTAATTCCACAGAGCTTCTCTATTTCTGTATTTGGGCTTCCAAAGGACACAACAAAAAGACAGAAGTGCTAACAGTTCGATATTAATTATGTTCCAGATAGTTATATAATACATAGCAAGCATGATTTGACAAAACAGCTTCCAGAATCTCTCCCAGTTCACTGCTGGATTCGGCTAAAATCTCCTCAAAGATGGAGCAGCTACAAGCAGATGCAGATACTGTGAACTCTGAGCCATGACCTGTGTTTTTTATTTTTTTAAACTGATTATGACATGTACAGTGTCTAGCCTTAACAGGTTGTTGTAGCAAAGATGTAAACTATGGGAAATGATGTCCGCCACCACTAACGATTTAGCTACAAATTTATATTTATTAGTCAAACTGCTGTAAACACACACAGGTCACCGGCGCATTCAGCCTCTCTCTATGTGTGTGTACGACTTTGCATTGTTTCTCTATAGGCAGCTTTTCCATGCGTTTCACATGTCAGATAATGAACTGGCAAAAGATATGCAAATGATTCATGTTACTTACACAGGCATATTCCAATATGTGTAAAAGACGTCATGTAACACATTGAGATGAAAAAAATACAGGGGAGCTCGACTAACTCATGTTTAGCAGTAAAAAAAATCAATCAAGGCTTACATAGGTTGCATCCCACATCTTATGCTTTATTTTTTATGTCAGCAGCGTCACTACAGAAAATAACTTAATCCGAGCATCAGAGAAAAATAAAAATAAACATCGCTCCCACACACATGCGCTTCTAGTGTTACAGATAGTTAATAGTAAACACGCGCACACATAAACACACGCACACACAAAGTGAGATTTATGGAAAACTAACATGACTTCCTTCAAGTGAAACATGAGCACACATTGCTTTGCATCATATTAACAGAACCAAGCTTTAAAATTACATTCTGGACCATCGCTTTAAGAAACATTTAAATATTTTTTTAATTTTTTATTTTATACATGTTAGGCTAAATTCATTCATACATTTTTTTTTTTTTTGGCTTAGTCCCTTTATTAATCTGGAGTTGCCACAGCAGAATTAACCGCCAACTTATCCAGCATACTGTATGTTTTTACGCAGTGGATGCCCTTCCAGCTGCAGCCCATCACTGGGAAACATCCAACACACTCATTCACACTCATACACTACGGAAAATTTAGCCTACCCAATTCACATGTACCGATTTTGGACAGTGGGGGAAACCTGAGTACCTGGAGGAAACCCACGCGAAAGCAAGGAGAACATGCAAGCTCTGCGCCACTGCATCACCTCATGTTAGGCTAAATAATTAAAATAAATAATTGATTCTTCTATGTTCATTAATTCAAAAACAGATTTTGTTTAAAACTTAAAAAGCCATCTTTGGATATCTGTCTTTTCTTTGGACATACATTAAGCCACTGCACTGATCAAGCCTATGGTTGGATGTTTAAGCGACTTGTTTTTCAGATGTTTGCAGAATCATTGGCTGACCAATAGCTTTTGATTTGGAGAGTCATTTTGCTGGAGATACTCTTGACCTAAAAAAAAACTATATAAATGGTCATAAAAAACAAAAACGTACATATACCATAGGAACAGTATAACAGAACGATTTTGCAATTTTAAAACCTTCGACTTTTCCAAACCGCAGTAAACCCTGAAACCTGTTATCATCCCATGCCTACAACAGAGGGCTCAAGCTTATTATCAAAACTATTTTGGTGTTTTTTTTCAAAATGAAACGATAATGATTGAATCTAATTCAATGAATTATGCTAAACAAAGCTTATAGAAGTTTATTAAGCTAATAGTGACCATGCCAGAAAAAAAAAAAAATCGTCTGATTGATTTCAAAAAGGATTTGTCAAATGTTTAACTCCAGGAGACTTGTAAGATGAGCCTTTTTCAAAAAAAACAAACAAACCAATAAACACAAAAAAAAAAACAAAGGTGCAGTGTTACGAACAATATATTTAATCCAATTAACCTATACTGCATGTCTGTGGATGAAACAGAAGCAGAACAAGGCCTAACCGGGATTCGTACCAGCGACCTTCTTGCAGTGAGGCAACAGGGATAACCTCTGAGCCAAATGGCCCAACAGAAATCTATCCACCAATCTCTTTGCTGTGAGGCAACAGTGCTAACCACTGAGTCAACGTGCCACTTATTGTCTTTAAATATTAAAAATAAATTTACTGTGCTCACCAAACATATTATTGGGAGTAATACAATGTAGAACAACTGTTTTCTATTTGAACTGAAATTTAAAGTTTTACTGTGTCATGTTCTTGTGGAAGCTCCAGGACTTTTTGGTGAAACAAACTTTTTAAGTAGAAAATAGTTAACGTGAAATGCATGCAACACAATATAAATGTCAAAAAGGGTTAATCCTAATCTTCCAAACAGTAATGAATTCTGGAGTTTGGTAGAGATGGTGTTGTTTTAACACTTCAGTCACATACAGCAAGAGCACATTGTCAATATGTTTTTAAGGCTCAGCTCAACTTACCAGACAGGACGACCTCGATCAGATCTCCCTCATGGATCTCCTCTGCTGATGTCAATCGTTGGAGGATGTTGTCTGAGTTAAGATCATGCCGGAAAAGCAAGATCTTATCATACAAGCCAAAAAATCCACATTCTGGAAACTGTGGAGAAAAGGAGAATATTTTATATTAATAATTGCAACAATAAATAAAAGAACTGTATTTATATACTATTGGTGGGCCGTTATCGGCGTTAACGTGCTGCGACTAAAAAAAAACCTATCCTATCTACCTATCTATCATTTATTTTCACCACTATTATTATAGTACAACAGTTTTTCAAGCAGTTTGCGATGCATTTCGTAAAAAGGAGATAAGCCCCTGGTCTACTCCGCTACCTGGCTTGAGAAACCTATTCTCAAAGACTTGTTATTATTTTGTTATTATTAAAATCACGGCAAAATGAATGCGTTACAGACGTGACAAAAAAAAAGACATGAGTTGACATACTTTGTGAAAATTCTGTGAATAAAAATTCAGAAGCCAAAAAAATATATAACAGTCAAAAGGATAGGGGTTGGCTCTGCATGGGACATATATAATTTATTTTATTTAGTTTTTCATTTTTGCATTAATGAGGAAAAACTATCGTTACGGACGTGACTTGTCTTCGTTACGGACGTGACTGCTCTGAAATTGGCAGTTGACACATTATGAAAATCAGATAAATGCTTTCAAAACTTTACCAAAGACCTATTTGTGGATATCTGTTGGGTGTGTAAAACCAATAAACTTTAACCTCTGAGACATCTGAATGGTAAGGTTGCACAATTAATCAAACTTAAATAGATATCACCTTGTTATATTTAATTTGTATTATGGCATGTGTGTTGTTAAAGGTTAACGCACGTTGGAATGTTCAAAACTCAGTTCGGAAACAATGTTGCATGCTAACATGGTGCTTTTATACTCTGAATAATATAGAATTGATAATAAACATAATCAGCTATAATAGGTCTATGTTTATCGGGCTCCTAAAGTTAGTGTTTCCAGACAAACTTGAATTAAATCATTGCCCGACTGTTGCGCAAGACCGTGTCTACGTGGAGAATATTTAAAATCTAGTTTTGTCACAGATATGGCAATATTATATTTGACAAAGTTTATTTTATTTTATTCTAGTTAATGTGTTAGTTGATGGAATAAATAGTTTAATTTCTCCGCTCGCGCTTGCTTTCTTTTTCTCGTCGGCAGTCACTTCAAGACAGGTTGCAAAAAGTTCATAGAGGACCAGGGTGAGAGAGAAAACTTTATTATGAAAGGTTTTGTGTAGGCTATGTTAAACAAGCATAGAAAAATAGTCATTGGTTGTAGGCATGTACAATGGATGACTATAATGTTTATATTTTTAGGCTATAGTTCATAACCGATTGTGTAAAATATTGAATCAAATATTTACAGCTGCAGGTCCTATCGATTTTCTAACAAATTTAATACTCCTATAATGTAGTTAAAGCTTAGATCAATATCAAGATTTTATTCTTATTTTGCCGGCTTTAAAATAATGTTTATAAGCACTCAAGCACATTCACCGGGTGCTGGAAATCTTTGAAAATGTTTTCATTTTAATGTAGGCTATAGCCTATTTTCAAGTTTTGAAAGTGCTTAGATTTTGGATAAAGGGCTTGGAAAATGAATTGTGTCGCTCTGATAATTTATCTTTATAAATAGTTATTTAATTAACAAAATAAAAAACATATTTATGCTCTGCATGAAATGAAAACTCCGCTGTGGCCTGACCCGCGACGTGCGCATTTTGAGCAGTGGGAAAAGACCAAATGCATGGAGGTTGTTGCTTATGCGCCCTGTGCGACTCGCGTTTTGTCATTGCGCGCTTTGTGCGCTCCAGAGGAAAAGCATGTTACCTCAGTGGCGTCTTTCATTCTTCAATCAAATGAAAGCAGAGGCGGGGTTTCCTTGGAGGTGACAGCAGTGTGTTGTCAAGATGACAACGGCAAACTTTTTAATGACGGAGTAGAGACTTGTGGTCGCTGTTTTAAGTCATCCAAAGTTGTATGACTTTACAAATCTTAAATTTCATAATGTTATTTAAGAAAATCAATTATGAAAACATTGACAGCAACACTCGCGCACAATAGACCAGCTGATTCAGTTGTTACCTATAGTGACATTGAAAAGAGCACCGCGCTCCTTTTTTTCTTGTCAACATAAAATGCTTTGTGGTGCGCCTCACGTCTCTGGAATGAAAAAGCGCGTTCGTTGTGATCGGCTTCTATGAGCAACACATATTTGTTAACTCGCAGGACAGTAAAACGTGCAAACACACGTGCTTACAGATGTTTTTTTTGCCAAAGAAGCAAAATGAAAGAAGGATATTCTGGCCACAGTTTGACACAGGAGTTGACGAACCAGCGCTGATCCTGGTCGTCTGTGCTGCCTGGAGCCGCGTCATAAACTCAACTAGGCATATTCATGATTTAGTGCAGACTACAATTAACAAACCAGCCTTTTTCCATTTGGAAAATAACAGTTATTAATAGTTCTTATATACATTTTAAATAGCCTACATAGCCTAATCTACAAATCAAACAAAGACAAATATTTTATGATAATTTCGCACCAAACTGATGCTTACATTTTACAGCTTATAAAACATGTATGCAAATTAATGCAGTATCACATGTAAATAACAAAATTGTTACATGCTTAGCCTATACTTTACAAAATGTATAGGTTCAAAGCCTTATGGTTCATTGTCATTATCTCTCACTATAGGCAGCGCGCGCACATGAACCGCAAGTAAGACAGAGGAAATAGATTAAGTCATAATCATAATTAAGATATAATCTTTAAGCTAATGACTTCTATTAAAAATGTTGACAGGTTTTGTAATATTATAACAGCGAAGCATTAATTGAATGCATTTTGTTTTCCGTAAAGCAATCTATTTAAGGTAGCCTAATATTAAATTGACGGAAAAAAAACACGATTGGACAAACAGCCTATGCCGGTTCTTAAAATAGATTCAGTTCATGTTTTCGCTTAGTAATCTTAATTTGTCATTTAAGTGAAAAAGATCTAGAGCAGGATTTATTTATTTATTTATTTGTTAGTTTATTACATAGTTTTTCTATGCTGCTAAAAAAAACACTGCAGGTGCGTGAAGATGCTCGTTCTGTATGCTGTTCGCATGTAAAATAACCTAAATTATTATTTTAAAATGCAATATTTAATGTGTCAGACAAAATAGGCGTGTCAATTTTTTTAAAATTAAATAATATTTTGATATTAATCTGTTAACGGTTAATATTCGGTTAACCAGCGGTTGTTGGTTGGCAAAATGAATCGAAATCAGCATTCCTGGATGGCATAAATTGTATCTTAACTATTTAATCTATTATTTGACGGTCGGTTACCCTATCTACAAAAAATACAAGAAGTGCTTCAACAGGTGCTGCATCGCTAAAACACCAAGATTATGCGCCAATTATGGCAATATGTAAAATGTTGTTCTCTTTATTAAACATTTATTTCTGAAATGTTACTAAAGAGGTTTATAGTTAACGTTCGAGGTTACTAAAGTAACCCTTCGTTCCCCGAGGAGGGGAACGGAAGCACTATAAGTGGATTTGATTGTAAAATCCACGCATTGGGAGGTTCGGTTCAGAAGCTACTCGTCTGAAAGAGTATTGAACGGGCCAATTAAGAATGAATTGGCAGCGCAAGCCTGCGCAGGTGAGCGGCATAAGCAATCAACTGAGTATATAAGCTCACCTGGCGCCAGCAGACGCTATCCTTTTTAAGCTGAAGAGACTTTCAACAGCTAAGGGACAGTCATCATGGCGACGGAGTATAGTGCTTCCGTTCCCCTCCTCGGGGAACGAAGGGTTACTTTAGTAACCTCGAACGTTCCCCTTCGGGGGGAACTTCAGCACTATAAGTGGATTTGATTGTAAAATCCACGCATTGGGAGCCCATTGAAAGCGCCATAATGACTGCACCTTACCAACACCCCCGATGAGGAGATAGTCAAGCAAGCGTGACGCACCCACATCATGGGGGGCGCGGTCCTCCAACGTGTCCCTGGCCCTAATTTATCCTACTTCAACAGAAGTTTTACGGATTTATATATATTTTTTGGGAAGTCGTGAGCATCTAGATAATTCTAGGAAAATACGACAGTACGTTGGGAAGCGTGCAATCCCGATAGGGAGGACGCTGCGGAGGCCATCCGTTACCCAAGGGGGGATAGATTGCAGAATTTACATATGGACTAGCCCTAAAAGGGGGAGTACGCATAGCAAAAGAGTGGTTAGCGGGGAGGGAAGACACGGGTCCGCCCAGGGGGGGGACTTAACCGTGGCGGAATAAGCATATGGGATCGCCTAGTGGGGATCACGCATAACAGGCACCTTTACCCAAAACGCGGGCTGACCAGCGGGCAGACCTACAACGTAGTGGGCCAGCAAGTGACTCCTCCGCTGAGTCAGTGCTGGGGGCCATGGAGGAATCTGCAGGGCTCACCTGACGGGGAACTTTACTGACAGATAAAAAGGCGCACGTATCTCCGTGTTAGGGAAAATGGCGCAGCAAGCGTGTTTCAACACCCTACCGAATTGTTTCCTCAATCACCAAGGGTTACCTAATACCCTTGAGGAAACCGGCTCCACTCGCAGATTGTAAAACCTTGCAAATGTGTTGGGTGTCACCCAGCCCGCAGCTCTACAGATGTCTGTTAGAGGGGCGCCGCGTGCGCGCGCTCGAGAGGATGCGAAGCTCCGAGTGGAGTGCGCACGCGCTCTCGGGGGATGCGGCTCATCTCGGCTCTGATAGTGAAAGAAAGGCATCCACAATCTAGTGGGAACTTATTTCGGTACGGCACTTCCCTGCTGCCGACCGCTATAACAGACGAAGAGCTGCTCAGATGATCTAAACTCTGAGTGCGGTCCGGATAATACGCAAAACGCGAACTGGACAATAGAAGGGCTGGGTCTGCCTCCTCCGAGGGCAGCGCTTGCAGGCTCACTACCTCGTATTAAAACGGAGTGGTAGGAACCTTGGGCACATATCGCGGGCGGGGTCTCAGGACGTGAGAGAAGCCAGCCCAATTACAGGCAAAAGTCACTGACCGAAAAATGCCT